TACAAACTACAAGGAGGGGTTGACTATTCCTCACTCAAAATGTTTGTCCTGACACGACAAATAAATAAATACTCAAAATGTTTGAGATTTTTTGGGGATTTTGGAATAGCTCTATTTGCATATAGATACATAATATCTTAAAGATAGGACCCAAGTGTAAATAAAAAATCATTTCTGTTTCATATACACCTTATATACATAGCTTGAATATAATTTTATACATTTTTAATAATTGTGTACATTAAACCACTATCTCAGGCAATTTCAGAGTACTGAAATGGGATTTCTCTAAGTGTTGACACACCAAGAACAGTAAACTCCATGGGATTTCTCTAAGAGTTGACTCACCATATAATCATTGATTTCAATGGGTCTACATTCACTAGGACTAAGCAATGGCAGAGGGTTGGGCTAGATGATCCTTTGGAACCCCAAGATTCAATGTATTTGACAGCTTCCAACAGCCTGATTTCTCACCAATGTCTTTTACTGTTGCTGCACTCATGTTTTTTCCTCCCACCACTGCCTTTGCCAGCATAACCATACCAGTTAAGAGCATCAACAAGATCCCAGCCTCAGCACAGTGTAATTCATGGAAATAAATGAAGCCCTTGGTTTGTGTGAACTGAGCATAGTTAGTACTGACACTTGCACCATTCCACTGATTTCTAAAAATGAAAGATCTGTCCCCTTGAAAACTAATCCTGCGGCATTACTTCTCTGCTTTTGTTTGCATCTGATCTTTTAATCCATGATCTCTGAACTGTAAGACTGGCTTCTGATGTTAAGCTCTTCTCTTTGCAGTAAACACAGGTTGTGCACTTTCAGCAAATATTCCTTGGTAAAGAATGATTCTGGACACATTCCTCAACAGACTTACCTGGCACTAAATCCTCACAGATTTGATTTCAGACTAGCCTTTATGCAGAATTACTCTGTCATTTAGGTAAAATACATGGTGAGAATGTTTACGTGGAATGGAGGAAAAATGATATATAATTACGTTCTTAGACAGTCCTATCAATATAGCTAAAGAGCTTTTGAGGGATTGGATGATAATCTATTAAAGTTTGTGCCAAAATAACTTGTTGGAGTCGAAGGTTAAACTGGAATAGACTAATGCAGCTATTCCGTTGAAACTTGAAACTTGTTTTCGACCTCAATCTGAAATGTAATTCAAACAGAACAGCATGAGCTGTTCTTCTAACTATGGTGGGCTCAAGTGAGCACTCAACCTGGTCCACAGTTGCAACCGTTCAAGTCAGGCATCCTACTGCTTCAAAATAAACAGAGTGGACCATAGTATCTGTGTCTCAAGGCCAACCCTATCTGAAGCAAAGGACAAAATAGTTGCCCCTTGAACATACAAAACCCATCTGGACTGGCAGCTGAAATTTATTTCCACACTGACAATGGCACAAAATACCAGAAAGCAGCAGGATAATGTAGGGATGCAGAATAGGCAGTTTGGCATACACAACTCCATTCTTCATGAGAAAGAAAAATATCCATCACCCATGGCTAGATAGATATATCCCCCCAAAGCAAAGCTTGATTTTGCTCTTTTATCTAAGGAACATTGTTTTACTGTACTATTATTTATAATGGGACTTCAAGCATCCATCAATTTTGGAGAGGGTGTTCTGGAACCAAACTCCAATGGATACCATTGTGTTTTGAATGTATTGCATTTTGAATAAAAACATATTTCTTAGCTTAGGAGCCCCCAGTGGTGCAGTGGGTTAAACCCTTGTGCTGGCAGGACTGAAGACCAACAGGTTGCAGGTTCGAATCTGGGGAGAGCACAGCTCCAGCTCCCCATGCGGGGACATGAGAGAAGCCTCCCACATGGATGGTAAAACATCAAAGCATTCGGGCATCCCCTGGACAATATAGTTGAACAAATGATGGCAATGTGCTAGCATCTCAGTTTGTGGCCATAAAATAATACTTCAGATAAGTTCAAAGACTTTTCAGTTCTTGACAGTTCCCATGATGGTAAAACATCAAACACCCGGGCATCCCCTGGGCAACGTCCTTGCAAGACAGCCAATTATCTCACAGCAGAAGCAACTTGCAGTTTCTCAATTTACTCCTGACATGAAGGGGGAAAAAAAAAAAGCTCCCACATAATTTTCATTTGAGAACTACAAAAGTTATAGGGAATATCAAATGGAGGTCCCCAGATAAGGCACCAGTGGCTATTGGGAATACAACAGTAAAACAGATTGTGCTGGCACAATAGAACTGAGATACACACTGCCCAAGGGCCTGGGTCAAAAAACTTTTGTATGCCCACTGATGTTATTTTTGTCAAGGAGCAGCTGCCCAAACCTTTTATGAAACTGAGAAATGTCAATAACAGCTTGTGGTATGTTGAGCCAACAATGTGATGTGGCGGCAAAAAAAGCCAATGGGATTTTAGCTTGCATCAATAGGAGCATAGTGTCTAGATCTAGGGAAGTAATGCTACCCCTCTATTCCGCTTTGGTTAGACCACACCTGGAATAGTGTGTCTAATCCTGGGCACCACAATTCAAGAGAGATATTGGCAAGCTGGAATGTGGCGACTAAAATGATCAAGGGTCTTGAGAACAAGCCCTATGAGGAGCGGCTTAAGGAGCTGAGCATGTTTAGCCTGAAGAAGAGAAGGCTAAGAGGAGATATGATGGCCATGTATGTGAGAGGAAGCCACAGGGAGGAGGGAGCAAGCTTGTTTTCTGCTTCCTTGGAGACTAGGATGCGGAACAATGTCTTCAAACTACAAGAGAGGAGATTCCATCTGAACACGAGGAAGAACTTCCTGACTGTGAGAGCCATTCAGCAGTGGAACTCTCTGCCCCGGAGTGTGGTGGAGGCTCCTTCTTTGGAAGCTTTTAAACAGAGGCTGGATGGCCATCTGTCAGGGGTGATTTGAATGCAATATTCCTGCTTCTTGGCAGGGGGTTGGACTGGATGGCCCATGAGGTCTCTTCCAACTCTTTGATTCTATGATTCTATGGCATGGAGACTTTTTTTCATGTCAGGAGCAACTTGAAAAACTACAAGTCACTTCTGCTGTGAGATAATTGGCTGTCTTGCAAGGACGTTGCCCAGGGGATGCCCGGGTGTTTGATGTTTTACCATCATGGGAACTGTCAAGAACCGAAAAGTCCTTGAACTTATCTGAAGTATTATTTTATGGCCACAAACTGAGATGCTAGCACATTGCCATCATTTGTTCCATTACTTTCTGCTGAGCAAAACTACATAGAGCTTTTTAGAGCTATCTCCCTGACTGTCATCAAAACTGGGATATAATGAAAGCAGGAAATAGATGGAGGTGGAGAACTTGCAAAGGCTTCTCTTTGGATTGCAACTTCGCAGATTCTCTAGCCCAGTGGTTCTCAGCCTGGGGGTCCCCATGTGTTTTGGCTCACAACTCCCAGAAATCCCAGCCAGTTTACCAGCTGTTAGGATTTCTGGGAGTTGAAGGCCAAAACATCTGGGGACCCACAGGTTGAGAAGCACTGCTCTAGCCAGTATTAGTATTGACCATGGCATGGTGATTCTAGGAGCTGGGATTTTAAAATGCAGATTTTCCAAGTTCAGGCAGGAGTTTAATCCTGGTCTTTGGACCTCATGAAAAGTACCCCTACAAATGTAACATGTCCCATTAATTGACTCAATGTCATTATTTTTAAAAGGATTGGGAAGAAAAAAAATCTAAAGATTCTGAATGCCCTTGCTGCTTAGAATTATGGATTGCAAATACCTACCAAAACTTTAATACATTTTATCTCAGAAATTTTATCTCAGAAATCTCAGCTGTTGGGGTATCATTTCACTGCCATTGAAGCACACAGCACTTGAGCTAGAACCATAAAATAGTTAAACTAAGGCATTGGAGTGCGGCTTGGACAGAAGACATACACATTTCTGCCAACTTCAGATAAGATTATTGTGGCCCAGACAAATAACTGGCTGGATTTACAAATGATTTCCAATGAATGCAGATAGTACCAATGTCAGGAGGGCCATGACCTGCTGACACTGAAGGAGTTGTCCAAGTACTGATCCTATTGAGGAACTAGGATTCAGAACATGCATCAGTTCCTTTAAAAATTCAAACCAGAACCTGGAACAGATTCAAATCCCACTGACATCAGAACCACAAACCTCTAATGTCTGGAATTTTGGATCAGAACCACAAACTATGACTGTATCTGTATTTCTGGGCCAGAACTAAAAAGCTTCTCCAATTTCCAGATTTCTGGGGAAGATCCACACCTCATGGCTGCTTCTAGATTTCATCTTGCCAGAAGCAATAACTCACAGCCCTTTATATACCTCCTTAAATATAAGTTACATTGGGTTGCTGTGAGTTCTCTGGGCTGTATGGTCATGTTCCAGAAGCATTCTCTCCTGATGTTTTGCCCACATCTATGGCAGGCATCCTCAGAGGTTATGAGGTCTGTTGGAAACTAGGCAAGTGAGGTTTATATATCTGTGGAATGTCCAGGGTGGGAGAAAGAACTCTGGTCTGTTGGAGGCAAGTGTGAATGTTGCCACCTTGATTAGCATTGAATGGCAGCTTCCAACAGACCCCTCAACCTCTGAGGATGCCTGACATAGATGTAGGCAAAACGTCAAGAGAGAATGCTTCTGGAACATGTCCAAACAGCCTGGAAAACTCACAGCAATCCAGTGATTCTGGCCATGAAAGCCTTCGACAACACCTACGTTAACTTGTTTTCAAAGTAAGTGTATGTCAGTATTATAGTCTGTTTTTCCAATGGCACTGCTTTTGTGCAACTTACTATAGATCTCATGCATCTATTATAAATTGTCTGAGATTTTTGTTTTTTATTGGACTTGGTCCAATTTCCATTTGCTTTTGATGGTCATTAGCATGTGAAACTTACTCTCCCAATCCTTATTTCTCTCAGATGTAAGTGTGCTCTCTAAATGGAATCTCTCCTGAGAGTTTTGACAGGCAATCACCCAGAATATTAAAACTGTGTTGTCCATGGTTTTGTTTTATTTCTTCTCAGAGGAGCAATTTCATTCTCTGGACCAAACAATTTCCTAGGCAATTAATTGCCTTTAAATTATGGGGGGAAGGGGATGGAATCTCAAGGTGGCACCAGTTGTGTTTCAACCAGAAAACAGATTAAACAAACTCTAAAAAAGGAAGCACTCAAGGATTAGAAGGATTCAAAAATAAAAATCTTCTGATATGAAATAAAAGGGGATGGAAGGAAACGCATTGTTCCAAAATGGAGTGAAATGCAAATACTCCACCCTTTAACAATAGTAGACAAAGATCCACCCATTGCTGGCTAGCTTGAACATATTTCAGTGTTGAAGTCACAATTAAGACCCAAAGTCTTTCCTTGAAATGGCTATAACACAGGCATGGGCGAACTTGGGTCCTCCCTCCATGTGTTTTGGACTTCAACTCTCACTATTCCTCACAGTCTCGGGCCCTTTACTTTTCCCCCTAAGCCGCTTAAGCAGCTGAGGGGGGAAAGGAAGGGGTCTGAGGCTGTGAGGAATTGTGGGAGTTGGAGTCCAAAACACCTGGAGGGAGGGCCCCAATTTGCTCATGAATGAGCTAGCTTGACCTACTAATTTGCATATGGAATGTTGAGGCTGATTGGCCAGCCTCAACATTCTAACATCCTTAAGTGGCTGAAGGGGGAAAAGAAGGGGCCTGAGGCTGTGAGGAATGGTGGGAGTTGGAGTCCAAAACACCCTGAGGGCCCAATTTCGCCCATGCCTGCTATAACATAAGGTAAGCCCGTCCCCTGGAAGTGCCAGCTTTGGAATCAGGGTGCCTATTTCTTTAAGTCAGGGATCCTCAAATAAGGCCCGGGGGCCAGATACGGCCCTCCAAGGTCTTTTACCTGGCCCTCACTCATGGTCAACCTAAGTGTGAAATGACTTGAAAGCGCACAATCACAACAATCCTATCTCACCAGCCAAAAGCAGGCCCACACTTCCCACTGAAATGCTAATAAGTTTATATTTGTTAAAACTGTTCTTAATTTTAATTATTGTATTGTTTTAAAGTGTTTTTTTGCACTACAAATAAGATATGTGCAGTGTGCATAGGAATTCGTTCATGCTTTTTTTCAAATTATAATCCGGCTCTCCAACAGTTTAAGGGACTGTGATCTGGCCCTCTGTTTAAAAAGTTTGAGGACCCTTGTTTTACATATATACATCCTTGTTTTATTTATAGGGAGGGGAGAGCAGCCCTTTAGCTAGGCGCCAATGTCTTCCAGGGAGAGGCTTGCCCCTTGCATCTTCCAGGGCCCAGCAATCCCAAATCCGCTGCAATGATACCACAGCAAGGCTAATAGGTGGTTGTTTTGGAAGCGAGGGGAGGGGAGGAAGCAAGAGGCCCCAAGAAATGGCAGGAACTGGGGGATGTATTGTTGCAAAGGGGGGGGGGGTGGTGCTATACGAGGGACTCGCAGACAGGCACGGAGTCCGAGTCCTGGCTGTGCATGGAGCTGAGGCCCGTGTCGGAGTCCTCGCCGTCGTCCTCGTGCTCCTCGGGGCCGGCTTTGCCCACAGTCCGGGTGCCCACTTGGTCCCACGCCTCGGGCCCCGCCGTCTGGGGCGGCTCGGGCGAGTCCTCCTCCTCCTCGTCCTCCCCCCCCTCCTCGGCCAGGGCTCCGGCCTCCAAGGCCTGGAGGGTGTGGGCCAGGGCCTGGGCCTGGCGCTCCTTCCGCTCGCAGGCGCGGCGCGTGGCCTCCAGCTGGCCCTTGACGGCCTCCAGGTCGGTGCTGAGCCTGAGCCCGATGTAGAGGCTGGTGCTGAGCTGCGTCCGGAGGCGTTCCTGCTCCACGGGCAGCTCCCCGCCGCCCACTCCCGTGAGCTCGGTGGTCTCTCCGTCCGCCTCGCCCTCCTCCTCGCCCTCGGGGTCCTGGGCGAGGCTTCCGAAGGGGCCCCGCGCGGCCCGGAGCTCGTCCCTCCTCCGCCGCATCCAGCGCTGGTTGAGCTCCTCCTGGATCTCCAGGGCCAGGCGCTCCAGCAGCGCCTCCTGCCGCCCGCGCTGCTCCACCGCCGCCGCCACTTGAGCGCATCGACGCTCGTACAGCGCCAGCGCGGCTTCGGCTTCTCCCTCCCGTTCTGCGCTCTCCTGCTCCCGGGGGCCCTCCCGGGGGCCCTGCTCCCCTTCGGGCCCTTCGCCGCCTTCCAGGTAGGTCTCCTGCACGTAGTTGACCCCGTGGCGCTGCATGCGGTCGAAGTGGGTGCGCGCCTCGTAGCGGTCGATCTCGCGGTCCAGGTCGCGGAGGCGCTTGAGCTGCTGCCGGATGGTGTGGTCCTGCGAGAGGACCAGGTGCACCAGCGTCTCCATCCGCTCCGCCGGCGAGGAAGGGGAAGGCGAGGCAGGAGGGGGCAGTTCCCCCGACGGCGAGGCTTCTTCTTCCTCTTCCTCCCCGCCTTGCCCTTCCTCTTCTCCTCCTCCTTCCTGGGGGGGCGGCGGGGGCCGGAGCGGCGGCGAGGAGCCCCCCTTGCGGCGGTTGAGCTTGGCCAGCTTCCGGAAGGCCTTGCGGACCAGGCGCCGTTGCCGCTCGTGGTTCAGAGCCGGGCCGGGGGCGCGCGGGGCGGAGGGAGGCGGGGAGAGGGTGGCGTGGGCCCGGGGGCGAAGGCAAGGCCGCTCCTTGCTGGCCACCACCCTGGCCTCGGCGCTGCGGGGCCCGGCGGAGGGCAGCGAGGCCTCGCTCCGGAGCAGCACGAAGCGCACGTTCTCCTGCTCGGGGCCCCAGGCCGCCCACAGGCGCAGGAGGCGCGTCTTAGCCGGCAGGATGCGCTCGAAGCCGCGCCACTTCTCCACCAGGCAGTACGAGGCCGGCGGGCCCGAGAGGAGCGGCACCCCGCCAACGCCGCCGCCAACGCGCTCCTGCGAGGAGGACGACGAGGAGAGGGAAGAGGAGGAGGGCGGCCCCGCGGGGAGAGGCTCCGGCTCTGCGTGCTGCTGCGCCGCCGGGGCCCCGCGCCTGGCCCTCCGACGCCCGCCCGCCGCCGCCGCCCGGCTGTCCTCCAGCAGCGCCCGCACCACATCCGCGCAAGTGGTGCGCTTCGAGAGGCCCGAGATCAGCTTCTCCTCCTGGCAGAGCCACACCGACAGCTTCGGCGCCTCCGGATCCATCGGCGCTGCTGCTGCTGCTGCTGCTGCTGCTGCTCTTCTTCCCGCCTCCTGCCCCTTCGCCGCCGCCACCGACGCCTGCTGCCGCTCTCCGCGGGGGCGGCCGGGTCCCCCATGGGAAGCCACTAAAGCGGCGGGGAGCCCAGCGGGGCCGCACGGCGCTCCAGGGGAGGCATCGGGCGCGGAGCCCTCGATCAATCGCCCACCCCCTCTTCTTCCTCCTCTTCCTCCTCCTTCTTCCCCGGGGGCTGCTCCACTCACCCGAAGCGGGGTCTCCCCAAAAAGAAGGGGAAGAAGGAAGGACGCGCACGCCGCCCGGCGCCTTCTCCTCGGCGAGGCGAGTCTTAGGAAAAGCGGGCAACTTCGGGAGCCGGGACACACGCACGCCCGCGCTCCTCCCGCCGCGTCTGCCTCTGGGCTCTTGGAGCGCCTCCGCCTGGCTGCCGCCTTTTCCTGGCCCGTCACGTGGGCCCCTCCTTCCTTCCTTCCTCCCTTCCTTCCTCCTTCCCTCCCTCTTTCCTTCCTTTCCTCTGCCTCTTGTTCTCGCTGAAGGGAAGCGCCAGCTGAGCCCTAAAGCCTGCCTCTCCTCTTGCGACGGAGTCTCCCTCGATTTTTTTCCCCTTTTCAGCCTGAGGGAGGGACGGAAGACTCCCTGGGTTTGTAGGAAAGGGGGATGGCGTCCTGCTCCCCCACTCCCAGGATTTATAAAATGGGACACCAGCTGTGGTTTTAACTTTGAATATGCATCGAATACACTTGAATGTATTCTATCATGGCCGGAATCACTGGGTTGTTGTAGGGTTTGGGGGCTGTGTGGCCATCCCAAGCATCCACCTGGCCTCTGAACATCCCTGGCGGAGGGTGGCTTTCCCCCTTCTTTTTGCCTCTCCTGTCCCAGGTGCTTCCTGACAAAGTTGGAGAATTTCCCTGAAATGCAAGGCAGGGGGATAGCTTTGGGTGGCTTCTAGAAGCATTCTCTCCTGACGTTTCCCCTGCATCTGTGGTAAGCGCCCTCAGAGGTTGTGAGGTTTGTGGGACAGAAGCCTTTAAAGGAAGCCACCCAAAGCTATTCCCCACCTTGCATTTCAGGGAAATTCTCCAACTCTGTCAGGAAGCACCAGGGACTGGAGAGGCAAAAAGAAGGGGGAAAGTCACCCTCCGCCAGGGATGTTCAGAGACCAGGTGGATGCTTAGGATCCAAGAGAGAAAGGGCTACTATTCCAAGAGAAGGAGAAGGCAAAGATGCTGCCTATTTATAGGACTAATACCAAAGTGTGGGGCATTTATCATGTCAGAAGTGATTGCAGTTAAAATGCATTTAAAAACACAAAGTTAAAACCTCTGAGGATGCCTGCCATAGATATGGGCAAAACTTTGGGAGATAATGCTTCTGGAACATGGCCATACAGCCTGGAAAACTCACAGCAACCCAAAGTATAAAAAACTTTAGTAAAGATAAAGGTTCCCCCCCAACATTAAGTCCAGTCCTGTCCAACTCTGGGAGTTGGTGCTCATCTCCATGTCTAAGCCAAAGAGCAGGCATTGTCCATAGACACCTCCAAGGCCATGTGGCAGCATGACTGCATGGAGTACCGTTATCTTCCTGCTGGAGCAGAACCTGTTGATCTACACACATTTGCATGTTTTTAAATTTGTAGGTGAGTAGAAGTTGGAGCTAACAGCAGGAGCTCACCCCACTTCCTGGAATCGAACCTGCAACCTTTCAGTCAACAAGTTCAGCAGCTCAGCAGTTTAACCCACTGTGCCACCAGGGGTGCCATAAAAAACTTTAGCATTATATTAAATGTCCTTTGACCAGCAGTTGGCCACTTGGGGTACCTCTGATGTCCCTGTGAGAATACCCTCCATTGTGCGTGTGGAAGGGCTCAGGTTGCATTGTAATAGGTGGTCTGTGGTTTGCTCTTGTTTGCACTTGCATGTTGTAGACTCCACTTTGTAGCCCTGTTTCTTAAGGTTGGCTCTGCATCTTGTGGTGCCAGAGCGCAGCTTGTTCAGTGCCTTCCAGGTCATCTGCTCCTCTATGTGCCCAGGAGGGAGTTTCTCATCCAGTCTCAGCCACTGATTGAGGTGTTGGGTTCCCCTGCCACTTTTGGACTCTCACTTGCTGAGGTGCTCCTGTGAGTATCTCCGTAGATCTTAAGAAGCTCTTTCTTAATTTAAGGCGTTGGCATGTCATATCCAAACAAAGGATGGGCTGAAGATGTCACTGCCTTGGTCCTGTCATTGCGGGCTGCTACTTCCCGATGAATGTCAGGTGATGCAATACCAAATAAACAGTGTAATTTCTCCAGTGGCGTGAGGCGTAGACATCCTGTGAGAATTCAGCATGTCTCATTAAGAGCCACATCCACTGACTTGCAGTATGCAACCAAAATGTGGGGTAAACCTCCTTTAAACCCCAAACCAGCTTCTTAACAAATACTCTCAGAAACACACTATTTTTCTTTATTTGTTCTTCCTACTTTGTGTTACTCGTTTCTGTGATGTTTTAACATTGGGACTTTTCACACCATAAAAGAGGAAGAGAGTTAATAATAATGAAAATCACTCAAATCCAAATAGCAATTAACTGTTAAGAGTCACAGACACACAAACCAGGAACTGTTCGCTTCCTGTATCATTGTGTGATGTGGAAGGAGAGTTCTCTGCCTAGGTTGGAAGCTTTCTTCTTGCTGCATTGCCTTCCCATGCTTGGATGACTCCTGGTCTAAAAACACAACCATTCTGTGTTGGATGCATCACTTGGAGGGAGGCCAAAGGCGAAGCCGCTGCCTGTGATCCCAGTTACAGTATTAGTGTTCCTATCTTAAGAAGGAGGGGCGGACGCCTTGGTGGCCTGGCAGGAAAGAACTAGCCTTTGGAAACTTGTTAAAAGAGCTGGGTCCAAGAGAGCTCGCAAGGGAAGCACGTTGGGTGGGTTAATTAAGTGCTTTTCAGTGACGTTCAGGTGTTTCAGGCTGAGTTGTTACAACTCCGCACAGCAATTGCTTTAGGCCGTATGCAGGCTTAGGCAGATTTTATTGGTTTGCTTCTGCTACTTGGAAAAGTTTCTTCAAAAGCATAATGTGCATGTGCGTGCACACACATTGCTTTAAATATGAAAATATTAGAACCTGAGGAGTAGGTTTGCCTTGGAGTGAGTGGACTCTTGGCAAATATTATGGCATTCTGTTTAACTCTTGATTTCCTCCCCTTGTTGCAAAAGAAAAGCTGCCCTTTATTAATTGTGCTTATTTAGAACACATGGTTTAAGGTAAAAGTAAAGGTTTTCCCCTGACATTAAGTCCAGTCGTGGGGACTTAATGAGGATGGTGCTCATCTTCATTTCTAAGGCGAAGAGCCAGCGTTGTTCTTAGGCACCTGCAAGGTCAGGTGGTTGGCATGACTCTATGGAGTGCTGCTACCTTCCTGCCAGAGTGGTACCTATTGATCTACTCACATTTGGATGTTTTTGAACTGCTAGGTTGGCAGAAGCTGGAGCTAACAGTGGGAGCTCACCCCGCTCCCAGGATTTGAACCAGCGACCTTTTGGACAGCAAGTTCAGCAGCTCAGTGGTTCAACCCACCGCACCACTGAGGGCTCCAAATACATAGTTACTTCTTTAACATCTGTAAAATAACGTTTTGAGCAATGTAATTTTGATACTCATTTCCCATCTTGCAAAATCTTCATTTTAGAAGACTAATGCAAAGCACAAGGGGGCAGTGCATTCTGGCTACACTTAGCTTCCCCTTTCAGCTGTATAATAAACTGCAGGAGAACATGATCATTCTCACGTAAAGATCCCTTCACTTCCAGACTATTAACGATGTCATCACTATTAGTTAGAATCTGATCTGAAACAGCAAATTCTCTTGTTGATTCTTCCAAATTCTGGACCATGAAATTGTTGTCAATGCAAGTTTGGATTTTTTTTGGACCTTACATTCTTGTTTGTCTTCTAATATATATATATATCAAAATAGTTGAAATGTTCCATTATTGGGTTGTTGTAAGTTTTTCAGGCTGTATGGCCATGTTCTAGAAGCATTCTCTCCTGACATTTCGCCTGCATCAATTTCAGGCATCCTCTGAGGTTGTGAGGTCTTCCATTATTACTACATTTCTTCCTTCTGAATGTTTGGTCAACTATTCCAGGAAGGTTTCAACCAAGCTATATGCCTAACTTGTGGGTCTATAATCGATCTCCATAGTGACATCCCTGTTCTTTCTCTCCTCCTTAATTTTTATCTAGATGCTTTTAAGCTGGCTTCTAGAATTTAGGATATGGGTCTCTTTACAGATGTAAACATCATTGACATATAATATAATGTTCTCCTGCTTTCCTGTTTGGTCTATTTCTGTGAAATAGGCTATACCCCTCTATTACCACATTCCCCCCATGAGACTCATTCCACCAGGTTTCAATGATGCCTATTATATTGCATTGCTTTGCTATGTTGAGAGTCCTTGTGTTATCATCGACAATCACTCATGTCCAAGTATGATTGTCTTCCAAGTGTTGTGTCTGGACAGTGGGTCCATAGGTGACTAGAGAGACCTATTCTTGATCAACAGTGAGGACATCGATTTCCAGGTGGAAGTCAGTCCCAGCCATTGTTGGCTTGACGTGCCTTCCTCTTGACACGTTTCTCCCTTTTGCCCTTCATTCGTGCCTCTTTGAATTCCACAGCACTGTTGGTCACAGCTGACCTCTAGTTAGAACATTCAAGGGCCAGAGCTTCCCAGTTCTTCATATCTATGCCACAGTGTTTAAAGTTGGCTTTAAGCCCATATTTAAGTTTTTTTATCTGTCCACCATTCTGTTTTCCATTCTTGAGTTGGGAATATAGTAATTGCTTTGGGAGGTGGTGATCAGGCATTTGGACAATGTAGCCAGTCCAGTGAAGTTGGTGGCAGAGAATGATCGCTTCAGTGCTGGTGGTCTTTGTTTCTTCCAGCACACTGACATTTGTCCACCTGTCTTCCCAAGAGATTTGCAGGATATTTCAGAGGCAGTGCTAATGGAATTGTCCTAGAAGTTGAGTGTGACATCTGTAGACAGTCCACATTTTGCTGGTGAATAACAGGGTTGGGAGGACAATAGCTTTATAAACAAGTATCTTGGTCTCCCTACAAATGTTCCGATCCTCAAACACTCTGCTTATTAGGAAAAATGCTACAGAGCTCAGGTAATGTTTATTTCAG